TGATATATTATTTGATAATTGAATGAATAATCTGCTCTGCAGTACATGTATTTATAAATAAAAACCCTAACAGCATAAAGGAAATCCTAAAAACGTAAGAACAGCAACACAAGAAAACAGCTCAAAAACAAACTTGCTCTGAATATTGTATAAAAATAAGGAAAAAAAAACCTAATTACTAAAAACTACTAAATACCAAAAAAGAAAGCAAATCGAATTCATTTAGTGTTCTAATGAAAATCTCAAAATATTAAAAAAAAAGAAAACGCCATTCCCGAACTCTAAACGATTGAACTCGAAACTGCTGATATCTGCAAGTTGGGCCGTTTCTGATAAAGCTGGACTCTTTCCGGGTTCACTTCGGGATTAGCCTAGAAAATCTATCAATATGCCCGTTTGGCCTCCTGGCGGTCCAAACGGCCATAAAGGCTTCAGCAATCAATTTTACATCAAATTATCATCCAAACTCATGTAGGTTGTTTACCTGAGGAAATGCATTTATGGTTAATAGATCAAAGTGATGTGTTTAAATAGAATTCTTCAACTTTTTTTAACATGCATATGTTGTCTAGTTCATTTAGAACACCTCAGAAAGCCTTGTTTAATTCATTGAGGACTATGTAATTTTAAGACCTCAAAAAGCCTTGTTTAATTCGTTGAAAGAGCAAAACTATGTAATTTTATTAATTAGAAAATCAAGCTCTATAACTAATTTTTTATTTATTGAGATATATAAAGCCATTAGTAAAACAATAACAGGGACAAACAAGATCAACGAGAAAAGAAAAAACATAAAAAAAAAAGAAAAAAAGAAACCATAGCAAACAAGAAGTAATACTGGAGATTTTTTTACCTGTGAGATATCACCTTCTATCTTCTGGGCATTTGAAAAGAGGAAAGAGAACAGAGTGAGTTTCTTCATTCTCCCATTCTAACTTATCCCTCCACTCTCCTTCACATTCAATTTCTCGTAGACTGCCTTTCCCACTACTATTTGAGTCGAATGGAAGTTTGTTAAGCTTCGGACATCTATACACTCGAATGTTGGTCAGAGAGGGGAAGGGCAATGGATGAGTGTAGATGCTCTTTAACTCTGGTAGTTCATACAGAATCAATGATTGTAGCCTTGCGAATACACTCAATTTTCCTAAATCCCTACCAATAATATCATCTTCATCACTACAGCAATCATCCTCCGCATCTTTTATTACTTCTTCCATTGCATCACACCACCATATTGATAAAGTTTGAAGGTTTGGCACCCAAATTAGCCATGTTACTTCCTTCAAAACCTTGCAATATGCAATCAGAACTTCCCGAAGGTTATGAAGGCTTCTGCTTCCATCAATTATAATATCCCACAGATGATGATGATGATTGTTTTTGTGAGAAAATGTGCCACTCTCTCTTTCCTCCCACCTCATCCCATCCATTGACAACTCCTCTATGTCATCACATTCCCTAATTTCAATAATTTCTAGTCTCTTCATCTTCTTCTGTAAAGAAAACATTTGCAGCCAAATTGAGCCTTTGAATCCACTGATGCTTAAACCAAACGTGAAACTTGGGAACTTTTGCGAACTTAAATAATTTTTGGAGAGCAAGCTCTGTTTTCATCGTCAAACTTAAATATTGAAGGTGATTCAAGCATTCCAATTCATCCAATAACAATTCATTACCACCAAACAAGACGCTGCTGCCTTCATCATTTCCCTCTGATGAAACACCACTGCCACTGCCACTGCCACTGCCACTGCCACTGCCACTGCCACTGCCACGCATCTCCAACCTTTGGAGATTCAAAAGACTTGACATGACTTGCGGCGGGATTACATCAAGTTCATCCATGCCATTCAGATATAAATACTTCAACTTTACCAACGACTTAAAATCAATTGGCAATTCCCTTATGCCCGTCCGCGAGAGATCAAGATATTGTAATGAAACCAACCCCAACAAGCTCGTTGGTAACTTTCTTAGACCAGGATTACCTGATAGCTCTAAAACCTTGAGAGTAGGCATAAATTGGAAAAAACTATTGGAAATGGTCCTCAAAGCATTATTACGACAAAGAATTAAAGTCGAGATTGGGGCATCTAGGACTTTCGCTTAATTCTTTAATTGAAATACCAACAAAAATACTCGTTCAGTCTTCTCCCATTTAGGACTCTCTCCTTGCACCAAATATTTCTCTTTTTCACTCCCACTCTCCCAAACTATCCCCTTCTCCCGAACTATCCACACTGCCACGTCCCGAATCAAGTCATGCATGTGCACACTCACACGATAGGAATCTGAGCTCTCCACCTACAAACATGCAAGTTTCAATCTGCCAATAATATCATATGCCAACTTACAAGCATCATCAATGTTATCACATTCAACATCAAGAAACCCCTCACCTATCCCTAATTTTATGAGATCAAAAACATGAATATCATAATCTTCTGGGAACAAAGCACAATATAAGAAACAAGTCTTAATTGTTTCATCAGACAAGTTATCATAACTGAACTTCAAAAGAGGAAACACCCGGTCTCCCATGTCTGAAAATTTGAATATTGATTTCTTCAACACACTTGCTGCACAATCCCATTCTTGGGGGGTTCTCTTGCTAGTCATGGCTCATCCAATCGTAGTAAGCGCAAGTGGCAAACCCGCACATTCTTTGCAAACTTCTTTTGCCAGCCTTGCTATTTCGGAGTCAGAATTGATCATCTCTTCTCCCACCTTATCTTTAAACAAATCCCAAGCTTCCTCCCATGCCAAGCATTCCGCCTTTATCTTTTTCCTAGCTTGCATAAGACCGCACACATCCTCAGATTGGGTGGTGAATATTATCTTGGCCTTGTTTTGACTGTCTGGAATCGGAACTCCCACTTCAAGAAGATCAATTCGTTTCCATATGTCATCCAACAGTAGCACAAATCTCTTCCTCTTCAAGACTTTGAAGATATCTGCCTTCTTTTCCTCTTGGCTTTTACCCCTCCACATGTCATCTGAAAATCGTAGTTTCTTGCCAATTTTATCTTGAATGCTTTTGACACTACTTAGATCTTTGGACACCGTAACCCATATAACTTCATCAAATTCGCTGTGTGATTGACTTGCAAGCACATTGTTGATTTTCTTCAAGAGGGTTGTCTTTCCGACACCCCCCATGCCGTATTTTCCAATGATTCCAGTTCCATCATCTCTAAGGAGACTCAAGAGCTTGTGAAAATTTGCATCCAAGCCCACAGTCCTATCAAGAGGAGTTTCTTCAGTGTGTTCAGCAGCCATTGGTACAGCTACAGTACTGAAATTACCTTCACTCTTCATATTAGAGACAGTCTATAACTTCTCGGATACTCTCTTTCCGAGCTTATGGATAGACCAGCAATTTCTGGGCCATATTTTGAGACACTTATTCTGGATTTGTTCATCACCCTGTTGGAGAAGCTCTTCCACTTCCCTCTCCAGTTCTTCTACTGTTTGAAGCCAGCCAATGACTTGTTCGATGCGTTATTGGATCGGTAGCCTCTCGGCAGCTTCAACTTGTCTATTCAAATCATCTCTTTGGCTTTTCAATGTTCCCATTTCAGTTGTCAAAGAGTTGAGATTATCATGGAGATGGCGAACATAGTATGTGGTGTCTCTGATGCAACTACAAAATCGGCATGTAACATCCAAGATTGGGCTCACAAAGTCCATTGATCTGAACAGAACAACCCGAACACAAATATTACAAGAGTAGTACTTCAGGAAATGGGCTGGAGAAAGACTGGGAAGAAAAGAAAAGATATATAGAGAAGCAAATTCATATAATTTGGTTATGGAATAAGGGCCGCTTAATTGTTAGTATTAATTTTATTCGTCTTAAGGCTAAGAATATAATATGGTAGGTTTTAAGGTCCATGCACGCAAGTCTCTAGTGATAAGGTTGTTGACTGACTTTGGAATTAATTATGTCTGTAGTAAATATTTATTTTGGAGTTGTTTAGTCTGAAAATCATTTATCCCTTTTTTTTTTTTTTTTTTTTTTCTATGCAAGAGATTTAATTTTTTTTTTTTTTTTTTTTTTTTTTTTTTTTTTTTTTTTTTTTCTATGCAAGAGATTTAACCTTATGAAATCATATAGAGTTGAGTGATTTTTTCTTCCCATCTGCAAACTTGGGCGAGATTTTAGTGTAAAACACTTAATTTTATTTTTATTTTATATTTATTATTTAACCCTTTTGAGGGCAATACTGTTGCTCATATTTGATTGTGTTATATTGTGATTCCAAAGTCCATGCAAGCTTAACAGCTTTATTTACAAGAGAATAATATAGTTAATTTACCTAAAGGGAGACAGTTTTTACTTCTCTACTTTATATATGTATATATATATTTTGAATTGATTTGAAAACTCAATAACTTTTTAGCAGTTGGCAAAAGCACCAAACAAACTTTGTCAGCTTCTTGCAAGTGGAGGAATATTATATAATAGAAAGACACCTAATTGGGAGGAGTATTGTATGGAGAATTATTTTCAGAAAACTTTAAAAATGTCCATTCCACAAACAACTTCTTGCAAGTGGAGGAATATTATATAATAGAAGGACACCTAATTCGGAGAAGTATTGTATACTATTTTCAGATGACTTTAAAAATGTCCATTCCACAAACAAATTTTAATAATGAGTCCACTTGATAAAAAGAAATGTTAAAAATAATTATTGGTTCTTTATGCAATTTTAATATTGTCCAATTATGGCTATTTAGGTATTGAAATTATAGTTTAGTAGCTTATTTTTTTAAAATCATTTTCCAATGATAAAATGAAAGAAATAAGAAAGGGACTGGTAAATATTAGTGAGGCCAAGTCCATGAGAAGGTACAAATACAACATAAAAGCTACATTAAATATAATTAACAAGCTGCTCATTATCGATTCTTACCATTCTTTGAACCCTTGACATCAATCAGACTCAGCAACAGCTCCACTTCATCTTGAATAAGCTGAGAGCACTAAAACACACACACACACACACACACACACATTAAATTAGATGACCAATTCAAATATGAATGCACAACCCTTTGTTACATCAAACATGAGTAAGCTGAGAGCACTAAAACACACACACACACTAGATCAGATTATCAATTCAACAATCAAAGCCATCCCATGATACTCTTGTTCTCTTCCTAAAAATCAAGCCCTAGCTTTAGGAAAGCCAAGACGCCAAATTGCGATATCTATGTTTCAAAAACACACACGCACACTAGAGAGATGAACGAATATATCTGTGAGAATAGATGATCGGCATCATTCTACCTTCAATTCTCAAACACAACCCTATGAGTTAACAGAGATCCTATCAAACTTCACGAACATTACACTTCATTCGTTTTCAAGAAAATGTATAAACAGAAAAGAAACAAGAAGGAAAAAAACAACCCTAAAAATCCAAATTTCCTCTTGAACTCTACTAATCCTAAGCAAATCGAAGTGTTCTTCATTTATATGAACAAAATATAAGCTATAGTGCATGAAGGCAATAAAAAATAAGATCGCAATTTTGCTTTTCGTTTTCTTCAATTTTCTCTGCAACCAAACTAGTTCCGTCAGTCAGTCAGTAGTAGTCACTGGCGGCGACTCACTGCTATTTGATTTGTATTTGGGCCTTTATTGGCCTAATTGCTCTTTTTCTAATTTGGGTCCAATCCCTTTTGAAAGGTCTTGTTTTGATTTGTTCTCAACCCTTTCTTGGGTCATTTCAGGTTCAATTATTGGGCCATGTAGTACTCTGTACAAGCGTAGTTCAAACTCTTTTTAAATTAATACATTTTCTATTATTGTAAATAATATAATAAAATAACACAAAAGATAATAATAAAATCATATGGCATGAACAAGAGTACTGTTATATATTTAAATATTATTTGATAAAAAATAATAATCAATATTATATAAATGGTCTGTAACTATTGAAAAAATTCAAAATGTGCATGCTATTTAAATTCTCAATGGAAGTGGTTCGTAATTGTTGAAAAAACTCAAACGGGAAATTCAAAAGGTGCAAGCAATTTAAATTCTTCTATTAAATACTTAAAATGTTATTTGATAAAAAATTATTTAAAAAATTAATCAATATAATAGAATGGTTTGAAAATGTTGGAAAAATTAAAAAGAGAAATATAAAAGCAACAAGCTATTTAAATTCTCAATATTTTGTATAAAAAAACAATACAGGCATATAATGAAAAAGACTTTTAATTTAATGAAACAAAAAAATTAACTATTTTTAAAACAACTTTTCTAGTAAAAAGAAGTGACCGGTTTGTAACTATGTTTCCCACCCAAATTTGAAATTATTTTACAAAATCAACATGTTCATGGGGATCCAACGGATCCAAGCTCTTACACGTGTTAAATCTCGAATGAGCTTGAGCTGGGATCCGTTGCAGAGGATCCCAGCCTTAGGTTATAATAACCAACTCCAAATATTTGAAATTCAAGAAAAAAGCTCTGTTTGGAGCGAGAGAACTTTCTTGCTCGAAGCTTCCAAGGTGAAGGTGAAGGTGAGATCACTTCGGCAAATACAGTTCATGATTATATGATTTACGTTTCAAAATCACATTGGATAGTCAAATGTGAACTGTGAAGCAATTGAAGGAATTTTACTTGAAATGTGAACTCTCTTGCTCAAATTATATGTTCGTGTAAAGATATTTGAATCAAATGTTTTTTACAAATCATATTGAGTTATTGTTTGAATTTGCCACATTTTCTTATACCTATAGATATAAGGGAGAGTGCGTCATATGGAATACCTAAAATGCGTGACACTACTTTGTCTATAGTTAAGTATATGTGGTGGATCTCTTTTTTTCCCCTCTTTTTGCTGCTAAGGTAGTATTAATTGGTAATTATAGCCTTATGCACTTAAATATACCATGCAACTCTTTGCACAACCTTCCCCTTAAAGGTGACATTTATTGCATGATACAGATTGATGAGGATAAGGATATGAATACCTTAGACGAGGATTTTCCTTTCTTTATGTCACTGAAGAGCCACTGAAGATGAGCTACGCTTTCTTTTGTTCTCCCCATAACAAGGAGGCCGCTACTCTCTCTGTCAAGACGATGAACCTAACAAAGTAGTCATATGAGAAATAGCAACCAGAAATGCTTTAAAGGGAGCTAACATTTGACATATACAGTAATATGCATGATCACACCAGCTTTACAAACATAAGCCAGTAGCAAGCATTCCCTAATGGAACAAACAGACACCCAATGCAAATACTTCTTTTTGGAACAGAATACAATCATAAAATGAAATAAGTTACTGTAGAACTAGAGGAAAATATCACAAGAATAGTGATACTTTTTCAGAACTATTGAAATACCTACCACTAATAAAATCAAAGAAAAGAATGGCTGGACCAATGTCGCTGTTACCATCAAAAGCTTCCACACAAGCAGACTGAGCACTAGATCGCATGATCCCAAATATACTCCTCCATTACTAGATCTCTCTCTTTCTCTCTCTCTCTCTCTCTTTCACACACACACACACACACAGAGGACAGAGAGAGAGCGAGAGAGAGAGAGAGAGAGAGAGAGAGAGAGAGAGAGAGAGCTATTTAACCTCTCCTTTATTATGTAATCATGTATTTGTATCATAATAGTATTCTCACTAGAGGCCCGGAAAACATAGAGACGTTCATTTTTCCTTTTGGCCAAAAAATTCTTGTAACCTCTGACCCAGAGTCACCCAGACATTCTACTTGAATTACGCAGCTGCTAGTAAACGAATCTGCTCTTCTACCAAGGCCTTTGATCTTTGATGACAAGTAACATTCCTTTAACCTGTTCTTTAAAAACCACCTGTTTGATTGCTTGGTAGTTTCTAATCTGCTACTAGCTTAGATTCTCTCAAAAACAAAGAGTATGCTAGTCAATGAAAGACCCTAAACCAATTCTCAAAACATATAAATTCTCTCAATAATATGTAGAGAGTTAAAAGGTTTATGAGATACCGTAGAGTGATTATAGCCACCTATTTCTAGCCAATACAACAATCCTATTATGGAATAAGAAAATAGGTCCTATTAAAATTCTGCTTTGAAAGATTTTCAAACAATAAACTTCCCGTAATATTTCACTTGATCGAAGGTTTTGCCCCAGATAGTTCAATTTTTTTGATAAGTAAAAAAAAAAATGAAGCTTCTTTGGGGGTGGTTTCAATTGATTGAAACATCAATCGGAACACACCGTCTTCCCAAAATTTTCTTGTTTGCAAATTTTGATTGACCAATGCTTCAAGCAAAGCTTGCTATTTTTCCAAATACTAAGTCATAATCTTGAATGAGCCTTTGAAAATTCCTTTGATAAAAAATCTAAAATTTGAAAAATATGCTAAAAACATTCTTTTGAGCATTTTCAAAGATAAAGCCTAGGTCAGGAATAGTCACTAAAGTCTCACCTTGCCTTAACCTAGATATATAATCGAGCTTGAGAGATATTCTGCATTGCTTTGTTGTTCTTCATCTCCATCATCTTTTTTTTTGGTTGTGGCCAAATGGCTCACATTTAACATTATGTTTCCTGAATTACTGTCAGATGGGTCCTTCGAGCTATTTTTGCCAACCATTTCTTTCATCCATTTGGAACCTTTGGAGATAAAGGAACTTCAGAAATGTTTTCATATGGAAGCTTCGAAGGCATTTCCAGAATTGGCTTTAAGGACTGAAAGCTAGATTTTCAGTAAGGATTCTCCTTGTACTTTGAGGCATTTGTACAATGATTTGCTTAATTTCAATCGTACTTACCTTCTTGGTTTCTATAGGTTAAGATGGCGTCTTATACACCATCCCTACCCTTCTTCTAAGTTTTTTCAATGAATTTCCATTTATCAGAAAAAAGAAAAGATATAAAAAAATGATGACAATGACAACAGTGGCCAGCGATGATGCAAAAATAAACCAACATAAGGAAAGAAATAGGAAATCCTTTGACGAGGCGGAGTTTCCTCGGGGGATGGTTAGATTTTCTGTATTTAGTTCTCTGTTCTTTTGGGTTCAAGGCACTAATTGTAAATCTATGGATATTCTTTTGGCTTTTGTGGATAGCTTGAGGCTATAGTTTTGTGCAGTTGCTCTGGGCCGCGTCCCCCTTTTCGATTGTTGTAGACTTGTAGTTCATTTGTCTAACTATCTTACCATATAATCAGGCCCGGTCAGATCTTCTTTCAAATTTTTTATATGCTAAGCCCCCAAATCATAAATAACTGAGCTTGTAAAACGTATTAAATTATAAATACATACCTAAATAATAAGACAGTAGCACCCAACTTCACTCGATTAATTTTTTGTTATTGTCTATCAACAGGATGAAACTAGAAAAAATTCAGCAGAGTTATTTTTTTAATACTATTGGTCTTTCAACTCATTATCCAAAACAAGAAGCTTACCAACTTAGGACCCTCATCATAATCATAAGACAATGCTGCAGCTGCCAAGGCATCCATGCTGTTATGAACAGGCAGGTGCCCCTAATAACATAATTGTATCCATAAAACAATCAAAAGTTAAAAAAATAATAACAATAAAAAACTTTCAAGGCAGTAGTCAGAGAGAGAGAGGAGAATGGACCGTAGAGAAGTTAACCATCACTGGCAATTTGGGGGGCTTATTTAGTACGATTATAGCAGAATCCTGAAAATTTAATAACCAATAATCAGAGGAGAACAGAAGGCACAACTACAAAATGGAACAAAAACACAATCATATTGGCATGCAGAAGTAAGTAGCTATATTGTCATACCAAACCAACCAACTGATAATGTATGGCTACTGTGAAAATGTTGAACTGACAAGTCAGGGACCTAGAAATTCATATGAACACTGAAATTGCATGAAATAAGATGAATAAGCACTTGAACTAAAGACATACCTTGTACTTGACAAGCCTTTGCAAATACTCTATCTCATCAGCATTTGGGTATAGTGTTCCACTTGGTATGGTGTCAAATCTCTTGGAAATCCTAGCCTCAGCAACTGATACGGGTACATGAAGCCTCATCCCCACCTCCATTACCTCATTATGCTTAATCTGTATGTTAGCTGTAGAATTGAAGAATAATTAAACCAACAAAGTAATGTGTACAGTTGACATGACGAAAAACAATATGCATGAACACAAGCACACAAAGAGAGTGAGAGATAACTTCAGGTTTGCTTTTTTTAAATGTATGCAATAAGTTAAAACTTATAGCTGTGAAATTTTGATCAACAACTAGCTCAATAAACAAGTACCATTACCTTTCTCATGGGTTTTCTTTGTCCTCCTTTCTCCATCAACGACTCGTTCGAATTTAGACATTCCATCTGGACCTGTAAAAAAATGTTAAAACAAAGATTGTTATTTTCCAAACACAAGAATCATCTAATAACGTAATAAACATAATTTAGCTATGAAATCTCATACAGAGAACATCTATAATGAGTCCACTACAGAAATGTAATGATGCCAGTTGATTTTATAAGAACATTCTGTTGCACCTTTTCTGAAGCTCTTTAACAGACAAGGAGATGAAAATGACAATAAATTCACACCAAACTATTGCATCTACTTGGTATGATTGGAATAAAACTTTATTCCAGAAAAAGAAAACATTTCAGGTTAAATTTGATGCAGAAGCACCAATATGAATAAAGAATTTAAAACCTACAATTTAAAGGGAGAAAAGATAATGTTCTTACACTCACAAGGCCCTGGTTGAAATGGGACTGGATCACATTTCCATGGATTTCATCAAAGTAATACTTGATCCAACTAATGGCAGTAAGATGAGTGGGATTCCTAGGAAGACTGTCTGAGTTCTTTCCAGGTAAGGGGTGCGCAGGGAGTGGAGGCAAGGATAGGAGCTGCCGAGGCTTTGGTCCCTGTTTTGTGCAGCCCAATTGAGTTTTGTGGTTGGAAACTTGGATGATTGGTTCAGCAGACGCAGGAGGTGGAGGAGAAAGTCTTGAGTAGTGCCTGACCATAAGCAATGTGTTTCGACGCAGGACATTCTTCCACATTGTTGCACATACTAAATTTAACATAGAAAAGTACATTCACACTGAGATGAATTACACATAAGTGAAATATCACAAAGCAGTGCTATGTGCAATCAATTCATAGGCCATCAGACTCAAAATGAATGATTTTACATGAAGGAGTATAAGGAAATGAGTTATTAGAATCAAATCCATTCACTTAGGTGAATAAAGCATTCAACTTGTTTCGGAAAAATTCAACCGTACAATTATGCCGGAACAAAACAAAAATTGAAAAGAAGACGATCAGTTTTATTCGTCCATGCTAGTCACCTAGTGCTGGTGTTACAGTGCTTCAAGATTTAGTTGTCCATCTGTGATGAAGAGAATTTGACAAAATATGCAGGCGGTAATTAACATTATCGAAATGAAAAGCGCAGCCACATACAAGGATTCCACTACTCTTAAAAACATGGTCCATTGTGAATTTGTGATATGCTTCTATTAGAATTGGCACACAGTCAAGGTAGATCAATAACTTTATACATGGAGAAGCATGAAAAGTTTGTGAAAAATGTCATTTAGAATGAACCCACTAAAAATGGGATGATTTTGCCATGTCGTATTGAAATCAATCATTTCTTTCCTTGAAATGATAACTTCCAAAGTTCGAAAGTGCATCGTAAAATTAAAATCCCATGTCCACATGATTCTTGTGTGGGGTTTCTTTCACAACTCATTATCAAATCTGGCTTGTATGGTCAACCCTTAGGTCTAGAGTTCGAGGATTGGTGGTAAGAGAAGGGAACTCATCATCATCAAATCAACTAAACTACATTTTGGAATCAATAGCCAAAATCAGAGTCCAATTAGATGGTGATTGCTACTCCTAATACACAATTCATTCTCTAACAAGACTTAACAAAAAAATTCATTCTCTAACAAGAGGATGCACACTGATGTTAAAACATATAATGGAAGTTCCATGTGCTATGATCTCTGTAGACATTTTTTTTATTGAAATATATATATTTGTACACACACATATATATACACACGATTCCTTGAATTTAATAAATTTAAGCACATCAACAGAACCAAATATGTTTAGATACTCTTGAATCAGTTAACCATAAGAAAATAAATAAACACGCGTGATCTTCATTCTTCTTATGCTGTAATTAGTTCATAGTATGGGTTAATTAAAACTCCACAAACCCCTCCAAAAGGAAAAAAAAAAAATACATACGAACAAATGAAGATTAAAAAGGAAGGCATACGAAATTCAACTGAACCTTTTGTTAACAGGCAAAGGAATTGCGAAGATAATATACATACATATATATATATATAACGAACTCAACGGCGGCGAAAGTAGCGAGAACAACGGAACAGTGACGTCGAGCTAGGGCTTCCGATGCCAGCCCAGTTACTCAGCTAATGTCTTTGTTTCTAGGTAGAGTGTAATAATAATAATAATAATAATAATAATAAAATGATCAAAATGGACTCTCAAGTGTCAACGCATACAGTATTAGTTTGCACATATTTGTAATAATAGAAATTCAATATGAATATTTTTGTACATTTTTATCAAATTTTAGTGAAATTATTAAATGTTTATTTTTGAGAAGTAAAAAAATTATAAAATTTTAAACCTCCGATTTTTTTACTTAAACATTTTTGGAATTAGATCAAAGTTTGCAATTCCAATTACTTTTTGTTTTCCATAAAATCATATGGAATTAAAATTATTATTATTATTATTTAACTATTTGAATATGTTTGATATTTTCTTAACACTTGCAATTTTTTTTTTTTTTTTTTGTCAATTATTAACCTAATATGTTAAAGAAGTAGTCTTTTTTTAATTTTGTAAATTAAAAAGTATATATATATATTATTTTTTGAAAAAAAATCATTTTTAAGAGAATATAAATTTTAAACAGGGGACCCAACAATTTACGAGTTTCAAGAGGTTGAAAAGATCAATCAGGTACTCACAAGTATTTGCAACAATTCTGGTAAAGTGTCTGCAATTCAAGTTTGGTTCAAATGCAACACAATGATAGAAAGCACATACTCCAAACCAACAACAATTTTGTTGAACTAGATTTATAGGACACGGTTGCAAAGGAAACCCTTCCATCCTCGTATCATTTTTTTTCATCTTCTCTTCACACCAAAATAGCTCATTCTTAGAACCCTTGACATGCGTTTGACATCAATATGACTCAGCAGCAGCTCCACTTCATCTTGAATAAGCTGAGAGCACAAAAACACATACACACACACTAGATTAGACTACCAATTCAACTATGAATGAACAACCCTTTCTTACATCAAATATGAATAAGCTGAGAGCACTAAAACACACACACACACTAACTAGATCAGATTACCAATTCAACTATCAAGGCCATCTCATAGTACAATTTATTGGCATCACAAATTCCATTTCTTTAGCAGCTATCCAAAATCAAGTTTAAAATATATTATGAAATATTTTATCTAATTTTCCATTTCTGATGATAATCTAATAGAACCCCATTGACATGTAAACCAAAAGATAACACAATATTGTAATTAACATATATCCATGCCAGCTTACCCTTAATCCAAAAAAAAAAAACATATATCCATGCCTGTGCTTGTCAATATCATGATCCCAAATTGTGGTGCCAGATATGGGATGCTCAGAGGTGTCAATTTGATGGGTGAAATAGGTTTACGTGAGGAAATGCATAGTTATTAATTTTAATTTTGAAAACAAATAGAAGTGATGTTTAATTTAAATAGAATTGCGTAACTTTTGGTTGACAGCTGTTGTGTAGCTCATTTGGAAGACCTCATAAACCACCGTTGTTTAACTTATTAAGAAGTATGTAATTTTAAGACCTTGTTTAATTCATTGAAAATGCCAAATTATGTAATTTTATTATTAGAAACCAAGCTTTTTGAAGCCCAAATAAAGTATAGATTTTTACCTCAAAATCAGGAAACATCAACTTCTTCTTGTGGGCATTTGAAAAGAGGAAAGAAAGCAGAGCGAGTTTCTTCATTCTCCCATTCTAACTTATCGCGCCACTCTCCTTCACAGCCAATTTCTCGTAGTCTGCCTTTCCCACTACTGTTGCAGTCCAATGGAAGTTTGTTAAGCTTGGGACATCCAAGCACTTCAATTTTAGTGAGAGAGGGGAAGGGCAATGGATGACTGTAAATGCTCTTTAACTCTGGTAGATAAAGCAGAGTCAATGTTTGTAACCTTGCGAATGCACTCAATTCCCCGCCAATAATTTCATCTTCATCACTACTGCAATCCTCCTCCGCATCTTTTATTACTTTTTCCATTGCATCACACGACCCAATATCTAAAGTTTCAAGGTTTGGCACCCAAATTAGCCATGTTACTTCCTTCAAAACATTGCAATTGAAAATCCCAACTTCCCGAAGGTTATGAAAGCTTCTGCTTCCGTCTGTTATACTCTTCTGCAACGGATGATGATGGTTTTTGTGAGGTAATGCGCCTCTTTCTCTTTCCTCCCACCTCATCCCACCCATTGTCAACTCCTCTATATCATTACATCTTTCAATTTCAAGAATTTCTAGTTTCTCCATCTTCTTCTGTAAAGAAGACATTCGCAGTGAACTTGAGCCTTTGAATTGAGTAATGCATAAACCAAACGTGAAACTTGACAGCTTTTGGGAACTTAATAATTTTTGGAGAGCAATCTCTGTTTTCACTGTCAAACTTAGATATTGCAGGTGATTCAAGCATTCCAATTCATCCCATAACAATTCTTTACCATCAAACAAGAAGCTGTTGCCTTCATCAATATTTCCCTTCGATGAAACACCACTGCCGCGCATCTCCAACCTTTGAAGACTCAAAAGACTTGACATGACTTGCGGCGGGATTGTATCAAGTTGCCACATGTTATTCAGATATAAATACTTCAACTTTACCAATGACTTAAACTCAATTGACAATTCCCTTATGCCCGTACCCGAGAGATCAAGATATTGCAATGAAACCAACCCCAACAAGCTCGTTGGTAACTTTCTTAGATTACTATTACCTGCCAGGTCTAGAACTTTGAGAGCAGGCATAAATTGGAAAAAGCTATTAGAAATGGTCCTCAAATCATTATTATCACATAGAATTAAAGTCAAAAGATTGGGGCATCTAGGAGTACTTTCGCTTAATTTTTCAATTGAAATACCTGACAAAAATACTCGTTCGGTCTTCTCCCATTTAGAAATTAGCTTATGACTTTCTCCGCTCCCACTCTCCCAAACTATCCCCTTCTCCCAAACTATCCACAATGCCATGTCCCGAATCAGGTCATGCATGTTTACATGATTGGAATCTGAGCTCTCCACCAACAAACATGCAAGTTTCAACCTACAAATAATATCATATGCCAACTTACGAGCATCATCAATGTTATCATCACATTCCGCATCAAGAAACCCCTCACCTATCCATAATTTTATGAGATCAAAAACATCAATATTATAATCTTCTGGGACCAAAGCACAATATAAGAAACAAGTCTTAATTGTTTCATCAGGCAAGTTATCATAACTGAACTTCAAAAGAGGAAACACCTGGTCTCCCATGTCTGAAAATTTGAATATAGATTTCTTCAACACACTTACTGCATAATCCCATTCTTGGGGGGTTCTCTTGCTGGCCATGGCTCGTCCAATCGTACAAAGTGCAAGTGGCAAACCCGCACATTCTTTGCAAACTTCTTTTGCCAGCGTTGCTATTTCAGAGTCAGAATTGATCATCTCTTCTCCCACCTTTTCTTTGAACAAATCCCAAGCTTCCTCCCATGCCAAGCATTCCGCCTTTATATTCTTCTTAGCTTGCATAAGACCGCACACATCCTCAAATCTGGTGGTGAATATTATCTTGGCCTTATTTTGACTGTCTGGAACCGGAACTCCCACTTCAAGAAGATCGATTCGTTTCCATATGTCATCCAACAGTAGCACAAATTTCTTCCTCTTCAACACTTTGAAGATATCAGCCTTCTTTTCCTCTTGGCTTTTACCCCTCCACTTTTCATCTGAAAATCGTAGTTTCGTGCCAATTTTGTCTTGAATGCTTTCGACAGTACTCAGATCTTTGGACACCGTAACCCATATAACTTCATCGAATTCACTACGCGATTGAATTGCAAGCTCGTTGTTGATTTTCTTCAAGAGGGTCGTCTTTCCGACGCCCCCCATCCCGCATATTCCGATGATTTCAGTTCCGTCTTCTCTAAGGAGACTCGAGAGCTTGTGAAAATTTGCATCCAAGCCCACAGTCCTATCAAGAGGAGTTTCTTCGGCGTGTTCAGCAGCCATGGGTACAGCCACAGTACTGAAATTACCTTCACTCTTCATATTAGAGACAGTCTGTAGCTTCTCGGATACTCTCTTTCCGAGCTTATGGGTAGACCAGCAATTTCTGGGACATATTTTGAGACACTTATGCTGGATCTGTTCATCACCCTGTTGGAGAAGCTCTTCCACTTCCCTCTCCAGTTGTTGAACTCTTTGAAGCCAGCCATCGACTTGTTTCGTGCGTTGTTGCATCGGCAGCCTCTCGGCAGCTTCAACTTGTGTCTTCACATCATCTCTTTGGCCTTTCAATGTTTCCATTTCAGTTGTCAAAGAGTTGAGATTATCTTGGAGATAGCGAATATAGTATGTAGTGTCTCTGATGCAACCACATAATCGACATGTAGCATCCAAGATTGGGCTCACAAAGTCCATTGATCTGAATACAAGAGCCTGATCGAACACAAATATTACAAGAGCAGTACTTCAGGAAATGGGCCGGAGAAAGACTAGGAAGAAAAGAAAAGAAACGTAGAGAAGCAAATTCGTATATTATTTTCGGATGACTTTAAAAATGGGAAAAATTACATATAAATGGAGTTAAAATTCCATATTTACTTAGAGGCTGAGTCGAAGTTCTATATTTCTCTAAAATGGATTACTGAGGTGGCACATGGTTTTTTACTGTTTAGAAATTGTGATGCCTAAAATACCCTTCCGCGAAGGTACTACTTTTTCTTCGAAGGTACTACTTTTTTGAACTGAAGGTACTACTTTTTGGAGTCCAGGTACCATATTTTTTAAACACTCGCGAAGGTATTACTTTTTCTCCGAAGGTACTACTTTTTTGAATTGAAGGTACTACTTTTTTGAACTGAAGGTACTATTTTTTTATTAGGGAAGGGCATTTTAGACACCACAATTTTTTAAACAGTAAAAAACCATGTGCCACCTCAGCAATCCATTTTAGAGAAATATGGAACTTTGACTCAGTCTCTAAGTAAATATGAAACTTTGACTCCATTTATATGTAATTTTTCCTTAAAAATGTCCATTCCACAAACAAATTTTAATAATGAGTCCACTTGATAAAAAGTAATGTTAAAAATAATTATTGGTTGTTTATGCAATTTTAATATTCTCCTATTACGGCCAATTAGGCATTGAAAATATAGTTTATCTTCTCTTGGGACATTTATTTCAATAATTGATACATTAGTGGGTAGTTTATATTTTAAAAATCATTTTTCAATGATAAAATGAAAGAAATAAGAAAGGGACTGGTTCCCATCCACAATAATAAATATTAGTGAGGCCAAGTCCGTGAGAGGGTAAAGTAGGTCATGAGGATTGGAAGACGAAATGGAATGGATCTAGCTTGAAATCCGTTTTTATCTTTATTTAAATTTTTTTTTTTTTTTTTTAATGAACTTATACGCTCATTTCCTCTTTTGTCTTACACGCATAAAATTGTAAAATTGTGTTGTTCGAGTTGACAATGTAATTCTGGAGTTCAAATTATACAACTTCAGCAGAGGCTTAAATCTATTCCAGAAACGAAAGATGGGTTTGGCAGTGCAGAATTTTCGAGTGTAGAAAGTAGTGCAAAAAAAATTTAGAACTTCAACTCTAAAAGATAGAAAAGATGTCACTAAATTAATATTCTTGATTTTATTTATTTATTTTTTTAATCTTTACTTGGCTAACAACGTCTACAAATTGAAATAACGAAATGAAGAAGTGAAAAAAATCTAAAAATGCCAGTGTTATCTACAAATTGAAATAACGAAATGAACAAGTGAAAAAAATTAAAAAATGCCAGTGTTGTATTAATAACTCATTTTCGATGTAAGATTAATAATAACAAATATTTGTTACTGTTTTATAATCATTTGAAGCTAAAAGAAAAGGAAACTGATACTAGCGCTCTATAAATATACTTCGTAAATATATCTCTAGCACTACAGCTTCTTATTTTAGTAAATATAATGGCCAAAGTATCTCTTAGTATACAACTATGACACTTCTCCTCCTCTACTTTGTTGTGTTGTGATTTGTTTACTCTATTTTTAAATTGAAAACTCTCTCTGTCAGTGCTAAAACTCAACTTCATTTTAGTGCTAGAAAGTACTGAATCAAATAGAAAATATAATGAGTTGTAAGCTTGCTATTGTAGAAGAATCAGAAAAAGAAATAAAAAAATAAAAAAAAAATTATGATTTGCATATGATTTAGACTAAAATGTTTTCATATTTTCACGTATGCAGTTACCGCGTGTGAAATGCAAAAAATCCTCCCAAACCATCACTTGAACAGACACATGCATAAAATTTGCAGGACCATGACCTCCAGAAAAAGTACAATCCCTTTAATGTAAAGTGCATAATTTTAGAAGACCAAATAAAAAATTCATTTGGATAAAAAATAATAATAATAATAAAAAAAAAATTCATAACAAGAACAGAAGAGAGAGAGAGAGTGAACTGACATCAGAAAAAGTTGAAGGGGACGCAGTAGTGGATTTGGAGAAGTTACTGGAGGACAAAATAGGGTTTCTGGCGGCTCCAATGGTAACGGGGCTAGCGGAGCCACGTTTGTTGGCTGTGGCTGGTGGTCATCTGATGGCTCCACCATTGCTGTTTCTTCACTATTCTTCTCTTTTTGTAATGAACTTCTTGTGGGTATTGGATTTGGATACCATATAATCTTTACAAAAATCACCCACACAACAACATAGAAAGAAATTATTATTAGAAAATAAATAGCAATTTTCAATAATTTTTTTTTTTCCTGTAATAGAAAGCCTGCTACTCAATTTATTTTCTATTTGATTCAATATTTTTTAACACTAAGATGAAGTCATCAAGTTTTAGAAAGAAAATAGAGTTTTCCATTAAAAAAACAGAGTGAGCGAATTAATCACTACACAACATATAAAAACGAAGAACTTTCATAGTTTTAGTAAGAACTTTCCTAGTTGACATAGAATACTAAGAGGCTATAATTTATTAAAATAAGAAGGCAGAGCGGTAGAGGATATTTGCGAAACTCCCAAAGAAAAATGAGAGAAATGGTCAAATATGTTTCATTCAAAGTAAGAATTGGGCATTCCATTTTAATTTTTTTTTTTTCGTTTCTAACTTGCGTCATATTGAAGAATCCAATTTTATATTTGATAGACATGGGCGGGAGCCTCCATGGCTGTGATGGTGGTGAGGTTCGTCTTTTTCTTTCTTTTCCTTAAAGTAATTACCTCTTTATAGAGCTCCATCATATTATCATTGCGCGCATAGTCGCATTTATTCAGAGATACTCTTCCATAGGAGCTTGAGAGGAGAATCCTGTCACTCATCCTTAAACTCAGGCTGCATTTGTTTGACCGTAAATATTTTTTGAAAATTATTTTTTTGTGATTTTTGGTGTTTTTGAAAGCATATCAATTTCACGCTTAATGTTCTCAACAAAAGTATATGGCATCGAAAAATTCAATCAAATACGTGAAAGAGTTACACAGTGATAAAAAAAAAAAAAACAGGAAGAGAATTTAGGAAGAGAAAGAACCCGTCTAGAGAGAGAAACAACTATTAAAAAAAAGGTAAAAGTGCAAAATACTCCATAAAGTTTACTTCATCGAGCAAAATATCACTTCAAGTAAAAAAAAAAAGTGAGTAACTCAGTCACAGTAATTTTTAAATTGAGCATTTCGAAATCCTCTTTTCCGGACATATGCTTTTGCATGCGATTTAATGTTGACTATTAATTCCAAAAATGTCCTCCATGATTACCATTATACCCTCTGACATTATACACAAACTTTGGCCTCTATCCCATTGAAACGCATGCCCCACTGTCTCCCAAACACGCCCTTATGTCAACACACACACACACACATATATATGTTCATCTTCTTCATCCACTTTCTGAAATAAATTTTTAAAAAATATATTTTAGTTGACACAAAAAGAGAGTACACAGAGGGGATATATATATATATATACACACACACACACCCAAATAATGCAGTCATTTAAGGAATCCAAAACTTTTGTGACTCGCCATTCAATTGGCACAACTTACCCAAAATAACACATCCTAATTACAGCCATTTAAGGAATCCAAAACCTTTGATTTTGGAGTAAATCCAAACTTCTCTTCAAAAACCTTGCTAATTCTTGGATTAATTTTTATTGCGAGAAAATATGATAACGCAGATCTTGGATTAATTTTTATTGCGAGAAAATATGATAATGCAGATTTTATGAATACTAATAGAGTTCTGGTTAAAATGATTATGTGAACCATGCACCAGAAAATTCAATCTCAATTTTATATAGCCAATAAATGATAGAATTGATTCATTCAACTTAAAGATCAACGAAAAAATCAAAATTAAATAGCAAAAATCCCATCGGGACCCAAAATATTTAATCCATCATAAGTATAGCTAAGAGAGAGAGTACCCAAACCCTCATCTCCATCGTCGTCACACCAAACTCTCACCATCGCAACAAACCCACATATTCGTTGTTGTCGCACCAAAACCCTAGAGAAGACCTTCACCGCCGTCGCACATAATAAAGAAGGATGGAGGAATTTTCTGGACGGTCCCTGCTCCAGTATCCTCAATGATCGCTTCCTCGGCGTTTTTCAGGGGCCACCGGACGGTATCGATGTCAGATTTGTGGCCAAGCTCTTGGGTCAGTTGGAAAATTTGGGCTGCGCAGGTAATAGGTATTCGGATCCTCCGGCCACATCCCTCCACCTTCACGTGGAGGTCCTTGGTCGACAATCGCCGTATAGTGGTGGAAACCGGCAGCAGTACCGGAGTGGGTACTTGCATCCGCATCAAAAACGAAATGAAACCCAACTTTCTTCTAGGATTTTGGCTGCGATCACTTTGGCTCTCTGCTATAAAAGTGTTGACGTAATTGTGTGGGTTGTTGGTGGAGAGGAGAGAGAAAGAAGACAGAGTATATATTTTATAATTATTTTCCTTTTATAATGTAGATTACATATATATATATATATATATGAATATAGTCCTTAAGTCGTCAACTCCTGCTTTGCCAGTGTTGTAGAATTGTTAATATTTGTAGAAATTGATTGTTCTCAAACTCGATTAATTGAGGTTGATGTCATGTAAGGCTATGAGCATAAGAGAGTGTACCCATCTACAATTTTAGGCATGAAATTTCAAAGTTGAGGTTAATTTTGTACCTAATTACTAGATTAGTTATCCATCTCAGCCTGCAAGTGGTAGGCTAAACCAGAGAGCCCATATTTGATCAGATGCAACAATTAGCAGTACCTATCTACCATTTTAGCCATTAAATTTCAATCAAATCATCAGCTACTTGCAGCTACGGTATACTTCATCTGGGAAGAGCCCAGGATCTTCAAGAACAAACCCTCATCCCAAAACTCAACTCTGCACA